TGAAGTGAACTCCAATAATCACAACCCAGGGCTTTCGATGGATTGATCTGGTCGAACAGAGCGGCAGGGTGGACAGCAAGCTGCGCAGTCCCCGGACGATGATGCCTATACAACTTAATGATCCTTCGTTTGACCAACCTCAGCCTGAACGGTGTGGCGACCCTTGGTTGGTTGTCCCGACCGACTGACCTTCAGATTTGCCGTGAGAGGCTTTACTACGTGCATCGTACATCCTGAGCGCGTCAGAGTATGCCCGAACGAGCAGCTATTCACGAATGGTAGTCTATGCAAGGTTGAATGGCAGTATGGTCCATGCATCAAGGAGACCCAAAGTTGGATTCGCTCTAAGTTAGGCGACGGCTGCGGCAGCTCGAGCTCGAACGTCGACCCGTTGGCGAGGGGTCAGGAGCAGCCGCGACGGTCGGACAGAGATTGAACGGCGAGGGCGAGCACGATGTGGGGGGTGGACGTGTGGATGCTCGACAACTTGGTGCTCTGGCATGGCCACAAGTGTGTGGCTGCGATTTGTCGGTTCTTCGTCGTCCATGATGGCAGTCACGGAAGTTCCGCTGGACGAGGCGCGGCTTTTCGTAGACTCTGTCGAGTTGTGGATGGCAGAAAGGAATGGATGGCTGAGGAAGGCGGGTCGGTGGTTGTCAGGGCCAAGGGTCATCACGTTCTGGCGGGAGGACTCGAGCGTGCGGGTGCTGTGAAAGATGATTTCGTATGCTTGGCTAGACGGGGGCGGGTGCATGCGCATGACGCACGGCGTGCAGAGGCGCGAAGAGTTTCGACGGAGTGACGTGTAGGTGCATGTCTTGCAAAAGTCCTACAGATACACATTATCATGAGGCGGATCCATCTCGGGCATGCAAGAAGTCGCACTTGACAGCATGTCGAACACAAGTGGCGCCGCCGAAGGAGCGTAAAGCGCTTGGTGCATAGGTTGCAGTGCGACGTCTTGGACGCCATGCTTTCAAGCTAGCACGCACGTTTCAAAATGGCTGGCGGGACCCCCACCCACACTGTCAGTGTGCCACTGTCGTCGTATCGCCACCACCACGTCCAACAGCGCGACGGCCACCTTGTGCAGTAGCTGTGCGAAGCACCGTGGGATTTGTCAGGTTGGCGTCGGTCCAAGCCAGCGCCGGCGGTGGCAAACCCACGAAAGCAAACGACAGACACATGTCCTCAAGCTAACGGCGGGCAAACCCACACTCGTTTCCAAGATCCACTCCAAACCTGCAACGTGTGACTTGGCGCGAGATCGACTTCATGAGGTTGGGGGCATGCTGGTTTGCCACCTCCCCCCGCGTCGCCGTCGCTACGATGCACGATGGACCGCGCCGGCATGTATGTGCGCGAACCCGGCCCTTTCGTACCCCTCGCGCTGAGCCCACCTCTTTCATCGTTCGTGTGCCTCCCAGAGGCCACCCGATAGACCGCTTTGCATGATGTGGCGCTGGCCATGCAAGCCAGTGCACCCGCCATGACACGGCGCCAACGTATGCACGGGACGTGGTGGTAGTTGGCTTGCTTGTGGGGAGCTGTCGCCCCGTGTGACTCGCCGTGGCCAGACGACCCCCACCCATCTCGACATCGTGCAAAGTTACTGTATCATGGTCGATCGATCTTTGAACCCACCGAGAGACAGTCGAGTGACTTGCGACGACGTCACGTGGGTGGTGCATGGATGGGCGTGGCAGTGTAGTCCCCTTCTTGCGCCACCATCATGCAGAGGCCCTGCGAGGAAGCGAATGCCCCCTCTGACTCCAGACGGTACAATCGAGGAGCAAGAGGCGTTGAGACTCGACAACCCACGAGTCGCATCGACTGGGGAGCGCAACTGGCCATCCCACACGATACAACCATGTTGTCCCATCGTCGTGTTGTGATGTTGTTTGTGTCGTTTTCATTGCGTTCACGTCCGCCCTACTGGGCGCCCCCGACCGTGGGGCCGCTCTGCTTCCATGCAACATGTCGTTGGGCTTTGCGCTGTTGTGCCTGGTCTTCAAAGTACGCCATCATGAAGCGGTAGCTGCACAGGAAACTTCGAAAGGTCGCGCCTTGGATCTCCACCACCGTCGTCGGCTCCGTCGCTCGCACACTTGCTTGGCGCTACATCAGGGGTGATCACTGTGCCCCGTGCCAACAACTGACCGTACAATTTGCGGACGAGACACTACCCCGAGGGGGAAGCAGTCGCCGGCACCAAGCCGCTCAACAACCACGCCGTCCTTCTCGACGACAACGGCGCCGCTCGTCACGATGAAATACGAGTCGCAGTCGTCGCCCTGCATGTACACAACCTCGTCGGCATCGTACGACTGGCGTTGCACATGTCCGTGGGCATCTTCGATGCATTTGATAATCTGTGTGTGGGCTTGGTGGAGAGCATGGTCCTGAAACCTGTCGTCCATCGACTTGTAGATGGCGCTAACGGTGGAGAAGTCGTCGACGAGGAGCTTGAGGACCTAGACGAATGCAGTTGGAACGAATGTGGACTCGGACACCGACGACAACCCACCTTGCACGTTCGAGACATGCACCGATACGACGAAACGCGGGGGTGGATGGTCCCGTCCGGAGCGAGCAGCTCCATCACGCCAAAGTAATCCCCCGCCGCAAGTGTTCGCAGCCATATTTGCCGGTGGTCGTCCGTGGTATCGTCGACACTCGACGTGGGGGTGACGGCATTCCTGCAAACGACGTCCACATTGCCTTCCATGAGCACATAAAAGTGCGGATCAACCGCCCCTTCCTCCGATATTGTGTCGCCCGCTGCATAAAGCGCCGACCGGAGGCTCGATATCGCGCGCTGGATGTCCTGGTACTGCAGCTTCTGCTTGAGGTGGACGGCTTCGGGGTCCCCTCCCGCCGACCCGATCATGTCTCGGATTTCGTGATCGGACAACTCGTTTCTACGAGAGTCGCTCAGCGCCACGACAAAGGTCGACCGAACGTACCCCAGCTCCGACGTGACCCGTTTCAAATCCGACCTGGAGATGTACCCCTTGTTGTCCCGGTCAAACACACCCAGTGCAGAGGCGACGATGGCTGCTTTCGGCGCGGCTGCTTCTGGCTTCGAGCTCAGGCCCCTTGCTAGTTCTTTCAGCTTGGACGGATCTCGATCTTCAACCGAGTCGCCGCCTTGCAAAAGCACCGCCAGAATACTCGCGCGGAGACGCTTTCGTCCGCGCTGGAATCGCTTGAGGGCTGTGGCTGGCCGTTTGAGTGTGGAGATGGTGGCGTTAGTCGGGGATAGCCACGGATGCGCCAGTGCTTGCTCTGCCGTCATGCGTTTTTGAGGATCCGCTAAGTTGGATGGAGTCACTTGGTGGGCAACGGGTGGAGTGCTGGCGTACTCTCGAGGAGGCGTCGGAGGAGGTCTTGCGCATCTGGTGTCAAGCGCTTCCACGGCCGAATCGTTGTGTTGAACGAGCCCTTCAAGATGCGCTGACCGATCTAAATGTCATATGAGTTTGCATGGGCATTGCTCGAGGAAGACGCGGCAAGTCGTACTTCGTCGTCGGTTAGCGTGTTGTGGATGTCAAAGGGATGGCACCCACAGAGCAAAATGTACAGCACGACACCGAGCGCAAACCTAGCCGCCAAACCGCCCAGATAAGATATAAAGTGGCATTCGTCGAGCCAGTATACATGTCGGCTTCCGGGCCACTGACGAACTCGTGGTGAAGACTCGCTGCGAGTGACTCTGGCGCGCAGTACGCAGTTGTGGCCTGCAATGGGATGTTGGACGGCCGCTCGCCGAGCCGGAAGGACACGCCAAAGTCCACGAGGCACATGCGGTCTTGGCAGAGCTATCGACGAGGTCAAGTCATCTTGACACTAAAATGGATGGACTGAGTACCATGATGTTCTCGGGTTTGACATCGCCGTGGACGATCCCTTTGCGATGCAGATGCACCATGGCCAGGCATAAGTCTCGCATACCAACACTAGCCTGGATGGAGAGTTGAGTGAATGCAAATTCGCGCGAGGGTCGAGTCAAACGCTGACTTCTTTTTCCGAGTACGCGCCGTTCGCGACGAGGTGATCGAATAGCTCGCCGCCGTTCGCTAGCTCCTGAACAATATACCATGTCGTATCGTTCTCGAAGACACCGCGGAGGGACATTATGTTGGGATGCGAGCCCGCAATATGCAGCATTTCGACCTCGGTCCAAAAGTCCCTGCGACGAATCAACCCGTGTTTGACAAGTTCCGAGCGTCAGGATGGAGAACTGTACTTGGACGACGTGTCCTTCTTCGACAGTTCTTTCACAGCCACCACCTCGTTCGTCCCGCGGTGCCGCGCCTTGCGCACGACGCAGTACCCGCCTATCACATCAAGTTCAACCCAACCTGTGCATGATTACAACGGTCGCACCTTCGCCCAAGATCTCGTTCGACAGGTCATACACATCGTCGATATTGTATGCCAACGTGATATCGTCCTCATACTCGATGCATCGAGTGTGTAGCGACGTTGCCGTCAAGGCGGACACATATGCCATAGCGATGGCGGTGACGTACGTCGCGTCAGTCCTCCAGGTGGATTCACCGCCATGTGCGACCAAACTATTGTTCATCCTGTGGCACCAGGAGGGGCGTGTTTGCCGCCGTCGATTGATTTCCGCGGAGGAGGGCCCTGCCCTGCCGTGCCATCGGCGAAGGCCGCGCCACATCAGATTCAAATTGTGCCTCGGAGGCAACTCGTATACGGATATGCAAATCCTCCGGATACCATGTACAAAGCATCCGTTCGATATCCGGATGTTAAATCCCCAGCGCTCGTCCGCACACCGAAGAAAGCAGAGGCCAAAGCATGGAAGAAGAGAAGGTCGACGCGAAGGTGGAAGTGGCAGCGGCAGCGGTCGAGGAACAAAAGCGCTTTGAGATCAAGAAGTGGAACGCCGTCGCGCTATGGTCGTGGGACATTGTCGTCGACAACTGCGCGATCTGCAGAAATCACATCATGGATCTGTGCATCGAGTGCCAGGCGAACCAGGCGTCCGCGACCAGCGAAGAGTGCACGGTCGCGTGGGGGGTGTGCAACCACGCATTTCACTTTCACTGCATTAGTCGCTGGCTCAAGACTCGTCAAGTGTGTCCTCTCGACAACCGCGAATGGGAGTTCCAGAAGTACGGGAGATAAGCCGATTTATCCGAGCAATCTGAATAGTAACACCAGCATCATGGTCATGAAGCATTCAGCAAAGTTGTTCCAGGCAAGATCAGTCGTCGGGACTTGCTGGACGACGTCTAGGAAACCATCCACGCGATCTTGTCCCACTCGACCGTCATGCTAAAGCAATGCGTCGACGCCACCGTGTCGACTACTGTGAGTAAACATCTGCACCCAACCAAGGACCTCTCGCCTTCAGTCTTCGACGGATGCTTTGTCGAGCATGAACATGTATGAATCGTTGATAGACCCGGCGTCCCAAGCCAATTTCGGCTCCACGTGCTCTGTGTCCAAAATATCCCCATCTCGTCGACCTCTACATATGGGTGAGACGCAGCCCTCAGTGTCGCCGCATGCCATCCCAAAACGTGCCCTCAACACGTCCACTTGGAGCTCTGGCTTGAAAGAGGGGGCTTACTTGGATACAGGCACATTCCATTGCCACGAGATCTACGTCAAGGTTCCTCCATCGCCGCATGATGTCGGTTCGACGCTCGGACACCATTCCTTCTACGCGACTGCGCCGACTCACTCATGCGACACAGCCACCGCAGCTCCATCGACAAAGGTTGCATCGTGTACACACCACTGTCCATGTGGGATTCCGTTTGAGCGAGGCCAACGACAGCGTACGCCCGCGCCTGCACATGGCGTTTGCTCGTTCCCTCGGCCCTTGCGGTCGAGTCTCCGTCCACGACGTCCCTGAGCCAAGATCGCATGACGTTCTAGTTGAACCAGATCGTGGTGTTGCTGGAATTTGCAGACGACTGGAACGTTCTTGGTTCCTATCGGTGGTTGGCTCTCCCCTAGGCTGGCTTGACACGTCGTACAAACGATAGCGCACATCTTGTTGAGCCTGGAGGTTTGCTTTCACACGTTCCAAAGAGCAGACGACTGCCGCCGTGGCTCCGACTCAACCCAACTGTATTCGCTCGTTTTTGTGGGGCACGCCAACGAATTGGGACACCTACTCGTGGCACATCGCCATCGCGTTCCAGTGCCAGGCGAGCCAAGCACGATTGCGTGAGACGAATGCTCCCATTCATAAATAGAACCTGCTAGCCTATGCTCCAAACTGAACATCTTTCATCTGGACAAACGAGTCGCGCGTTTCCTTGTCTTCGTCCAGGAGCTTGTTCTTGAACTCGTCGTCCATCACTTCGCTGCCTTCGTTGTTGTCGAACATGCAGAACCACGTCAAGATGATCGTGGCGAGCGAAATCGCGGCAAACGTGTAGAACGCGCCGGCATAACCAAAGCTCGGGTTCTTCACCCACAGCGAAAACCCATACGACCCGATGGACGCGCCCGCTTTGCCCATGGCGGCCGAGAACCCGTGGCACGAGCTGCGGATCGCGGTCGGGTACATCTCGGTCGGCATGACAAAGGTCGACATGTTGGGCCCAAAGTTGGAAAAGAATAAGGTCAAGCCAAACAGAATCACAAACAACCACGCCGTCTGCTTGATGTCTTCCCACCAGACCGCGAGCACGAGGAAGATGATGGTCATGACAACCAGCCCCTGCAGCTGGATCAGCTTGCGGCCCATCTTGTTGATGAAGCACACGGCCGTGTAGTACCCCGGGAGCGCGACCAGCGCAATCAGCAAGTTTTGCAGCGCGATCGTCTTGAGGTCGCTCTTGGCGCCGACAACGGTCAAGATGCTAGCACTGAACAAGTTTTGCGCGTAGAAAACAATGTCAAAGAGGAACCACGTGCCGGCCGTCCCGAGCAAGTTCTTGCCGTAGTGGCGCAGGATGAACGACCAGCGAACCTTGGCCACGTGGACGTCGCCCGCCAGCATGTTCTTGTATCCCTCCGTTTCTTCCGCCGTGATGCGAAAGTACACGAGGAAGAGCGCGGGCAATACGCCAAACCCAAACAAGACGCGCCACATCACTTCCAAGTCGTGCGCGTTGTCTTCGAGGACATTCACCATAAAGAGGCCCATGAGGGAAGCCGTCGCAAAGCCCACCCCCTGCAGCGAAAACGTGAGCGCAACTCGGCGATTGCGGTCTTGCGGCGACGTAGCATCTTCCGACGACGACGCGGCCGCCAGCGGGTATTCGCCGCCAATTCCAAACCCGAGCAAACCGCGGGCAATGACCAAGAACCACAGCGTATTGATGGACGACCCCCCATATGCAGCGGTACACAGAATGCCGCCCACGATGAGCAACACACATGTAGCAATCATGCAATTCTTGCGACCATACACATCGCCCAAGAACCCGAACGCGAGTTGGCCGAGCACGGCACCGATGAGCGCCGCGGCCGATACGTTCGACTTCATGCTGGCGTCGTACACTTTGTTCGTGAACTGGTGTTCCAGGATGACGTTGACGATGTTGATCACGGACAAGTCGTACGCGTCGTTGAAGAAGCCGAGGCCGCGGAGAAAGAACTTGTTGATCATGGCACGTGAGCAAGTCCAGGCAGACTCAATTGTGCTGATCGAGTCGGCGACGGAGTGGCGCTGTTTTCCTTGGTGCGGCTCCAAACGTCAAACGAATGGCCCGCGAGGTTGGGGGCATGCCTCAGATTCTACAATACTTTGATATAGTATACCGTCGAATCTGGCATGAATGTAACGCTCCGAACTGAGTTTGTGCCGCGAAAACAAACGCCAAGTTCTGATGGGCTTCCATGTGCTGCGGCGACGTCTGCCGTCCAGTTAGAGCAGGCGCGAAGGATCGTGGGCTTGGCTGGTCGTCGTTCCTGCGTTGCCTTGCGACCGCCTCTCGTTTCCTTGCTCGCGACGACCGCCCCCCAGGACGAGGACGAGGGAAAGGGCAACATAGTCATCCAACGCCACACTCCTATCGCATTGCATTTGTCCACACTTTAAAGCCCAGCCGAAGTTTGACGTGATATTGCCACTACTCCTGCCGCCCCGCCGTCACGAAAGTTCGAAAGCTGCCGTTCCCTCTCCGCCATCGAATTCGATCCACGAAGTGGCAACTCGTCTGATCTGAACACCTTGAAGTCCCCCACCCACACAATTGAACTTTCGCCCCCCACACATGCGGCATCTCGTGGCAGTAGGCCCGACATGGCGCACCTGCTTCACTCGAAACAGGCAGCTCTCGTCGGAGGAGTGGTGTAGCGCCAGCAAGTGGTTGTATCCATCGGCGCCGATCGTACGTGCACCGAGCAGGGAACCAGAACACCTTCGATGCGTACATAACGCGACAACGGCTGCAAGGACAGGGCCAAGGACGACAACATCGTTTCGATTCACGTTGCAGCCACTCGAGCGCTTCTTTATTCGTTACAATCGTCGGCGGCGGCACTTGGCACTTGAGGGCGATCCATTACGTCGTCGTCGTTGTTGTGTTGCTCGTAGGGTCGTCCGGGTGGTATGAGCGACAGCTCGTAAAGCGTATTCTGGGACAGCAACATGATTAGCCCATGCAATGACCACACCGACGGTCTACCTCGAGTTTCTTGAGGTTGTACTTGAGCGAGTCGTACTTTTTCCGCAACGGCCCATTGCGGAAACTAAACTGGATCAACTAGAGCACGGAAATGGCGTGTCTGAAATGGCCACATGCAATGGGAATCGTCCTGTACCTCGCCAGAAATGGCCTCGACTAGGTCACGGCACATTTCGACCTTGGCCACGTCGCGCTTGGTAGCCTGTGCGACCGCATATCGCCCAACTTCCCCCGTGAAGTCGACGACACCCGACAAGTACTCTTCCCGCTCGACGGAGGGAAGGTCGTCGATCGTGATGAGGGTCCCATGCTTGAGGAAATGCAGAAAACATTGAGCTTCTGCATATTCCTCCATCGCGGCGGCAAACGACCCTGTTCGTAAGGATCGATCTTCCTGAATGAGTGGCGCTAATCGTGATATCACACGATCGGCAGTGGCAAGTTTCGCCGTCGCGTCGTCGATCGCTCCACGATGCATGGAGAAGATTGCCTGCTTGCTTGCTTTCAGAATGTCCCGGGATTCTCGAATGATCACTTCGCGTTTGTCGTCAAAGGCATTCATTTCGGCCGACAGGCGTTGAAAACTCGCTCGATCGACCAACGCAGCATATTTGTCGGACGCCGTTGTCGCGCTAAACGTGGTTCATGTCGAATTCGTTACGTCAAGCAGACACAACTATCTCACCTGCCCTTGGCGAAGTCTGTTGCATTCGCTGCGCTGGGCAAGTCCCCATGCCGCGGGCGCTTCGATGGACCCGCTGCCGGATCCACTTTCATAGTTCAAAACCAAAGGTCACCTCTATTTTCTAATACCGCTTGTAGTCCTTCGACGTTCAACCAGCGTCCACTATGTTCAAAGATTTCCCTGCGAAATATGATACCCTTGAACAATTTGCATTTCCACGAAATCCAATTAGAGAGGTGTATTTGGAATCGGTTCATGACAGCAGGCTTCGGACATGATATATCCTGACGATAATAATCTAGATAAGAAGCCAAAGATAATCTATCCCTGGCCGCCATTGCATCTTATCATCTATTGCTGGAGCGATTCAAACGCCGATAATCTATCTTTGGACTGGCCCAC